GAGTTCAGAGGTAGCTGCTGCCAACGGTGGCCAGAGACACCTGGAGCATAGTGTGGTGCAGAGGACTAGCGAGGCCATGGACTCCGCCAGCAGCAAAGCCGAAGACTGTCTGCTGGGGGCTGCAGTGGGAGGTGTGGTCGACGGACAGTTCCCTTCAGGTTACCAGGCGCTGGGAACAGAGGTCTCTGTGCCACCTCACAGAAGCACACCAGACACCGACCTGGAGGTGCAGAGGGTGGTGGGGGTGTTGGCATCTCAGGATTACCGTGTTCTGGCAGCCCAGAGGAAAGATGACCCGAGCCCTTTAAACCTTGGCCATAATGTCCCTGATCAGCAGGGGGAGTCGAAGGACATGCTGAGGAACTCGGTGGGGCAGCCTGCTGCCGAGAACAGCCAGTCCCCGAGGAGTCCGTACTTCGTGTCCCCTGAAGAGCCAGTTAGACAAAGACAATTAACCAAAGGAATGGTGATAGCCAACGGCAAGCCAGTCCTGGTTCCCGTTGGATCTGAGCCCATCAGGTCTTCCGCTTCAGAACCCCTGGTGAGGCAGAGCCCGGATGCGCAGGCTCGAGGCAGCGTGCTTGACAAGGACCCGGCCCAGCTGCAGCCGCCCGGCTCCTCGCGCTTGCCATCTCACTTCATGAAGGGAGCCATCATCCAGCTGGCGACGGGAGAGCTGAAGCGGGTGGAGGACCTGCAGACTCAAGACTTTGTTCGCAGTGCGGAGGTGAGCGGGGGCCTGAAGATCGACTCCAGCACCATGGTGGATATTCAGGAAAGCCAGTGGCCTGGGCTGGTCACGCTGCATTTCGTGGTGGGGGAGCAACAAAGCAAAGTGAGCATTGATGTGCCCCCAGAGCACCCCTTCTTTGTGTACTTCCTGCAGCCCCGGGCGGACTGCGCAGCTCTTTGCTCTGCCCTGCCACAGGCTGCAAGTGGGCGATGTCTGCATATCAATCAGTTTACAGAGCATGAATGGCAACTCCGCTTCTCAGGCTAACTCCCCTCTGACAGATCAGTTGATATCTACTAGGGAGAGATCGGACAGAACAGCTCAGGGGTCCAGAGAACCGTCTGACAGAGCTGCTGAAAGGAAGAGCCACACAGATAGGGACGGCACGGTCCAGAGCTCTCATGCAGAACCCTTTCAGCCTGAGGCTGGCAGCCAGCACGGCTGGACAGCCCTGGGCTTCCAAAGATACAGCATGCAGGCAGAGGAGCCTCGGCCCGCTCTGCTCCGTCCCTCTTTCATTCCCCAGGAGGTCAAGCTGTCTATCGAAGGGCGTTCGAATGCAGGGAAGTGATCCCTCTGGGGCTGTGAGCTAGGGCATCCCTGTGGGTGAGCCTCACCGTCAGGTGGAGAAATTGCGCAGACTTTGTGACGGGTTCACCAGCAAGGCTGCCTTCTGCCCAGCAGGACTGGATTGATTTCATCCAGTCCGGTGGCTGACCAGTTCCTCTCGGGGAATCAGGAGGGCTCCAGTGCCTCAGGGAGCAGCAGCTGGGGTAGAGAACAGGGACGTGCTCAGGAGCCTGTGATGAGAGCATTCCAGGGGCCGGAGGCTGGGGCATTCTCACACCCCTGAGTGACTGGTGCCCTGCGGGGCAGGGTCTTAGCGTTCAGGACGGGTGGGGGGATGAGGAGGGCAGACACGGCTTAAGGTAGCAGATAAAATTGCTGAAGATTTTATTCCTCCTGTCTCATGATGGGGAGGATGGGTCCCCACTGGAGTGTGGGGGGCTCCACTCCCAGTACCCCTTTTTTTCACACATGCACTTTAAAAGGACCGTTCACCAATGGAGCTCCTGAGGGCAGGACAGAGATGCTTCTCTGGTGGTTCTGTTTAATGTCTCTTCCACTGAATCCAACTGCTCTTTCTTCTTGCAAAGAATGTACAGATTTGAATGAATCACAGAAATTCAAGAGGAAGGACCAAAAGGCTGGGTTGAGGTGTAGGTGAACAGGGAACTTGAGCACTTGGGATGGGACACGAGTTGGGATGGGAGACATCTGCTTCCTGCTATAAAATACATTTAATTATTTGCCACCAAATCCAATCTTTTTTCCCATGTTAATGACTTGAAAAAAAATATCTTGGGCTTACAGCTTTTGCAGAGGCTTAGCCTATGGGTGAGTGGGCTCGGGGTCTTTTTTTGTTTGGGTGGATTTTGTTTCTTGGTGGTTTTTTTTTTTTTAAGCTGGAGTAAAATATATTTAGCATTCTCTAGGGAAGGACGGAAACACATCCTTTTTCTGTGAGAAGACCGAGACTATTTTGTAATTAAATCAGAAGAAAACTTTCCAGATGGCTAACTCTTCCCTGCAGGCAGTTTCCTGAATAAGCTCTAGACAAGAGAGGAGTGTTTGTGCATGTGCAGGCAAGGTATAAACTTTCTGCTAAGTGCAGTTCTATGATTAACGTAGGGACTCTAAAAATATCACAGGGTATTCTGAGGTGGTGTGGTGTTAGCTTTTCTGGTGCTTCACTTCGGAGTTCCTCTGTAGAACATCAAGAGTCGTCTTTTTCCACAGTGAGATGGAATTCAGATGTATGTCAATACCTCGTTAAGGTAATAACACTCCGTTCCAGGGAAGGCTCCTGTGGTTACACTATTTGCCCTCTCTGATGGTGTGTTCCAGCTCTAGCTGCTTAGCTGGAATAAAAACCAGTCACCGTTGCGTTGAGGGTGAGAGTCTTCACTGGCTTCCCTCGGGTTGAGTATTCCCGGTGTTACGGTGCCCATCTCTGTGCTCGGACCAGGCTGGTGAGAAGGTTTATTTTCCACGTGCAGGTCCCCGCTGGAGTCCTGCTGCTGCTCCTGCTGCTCACCGTACCGCTTTCTGTCTCCCTTCTCTCATCTTCCCGAGGTTTTCCGAGGGGCGTGCCTGACTGCCAGGGCAGCACTCCTCTCTCTTCCCGAACGGCTGGTGTCTGTGTCCGCGCCTCTCCCCGTGCCGCTGTCTGTCGGTCAGCTCGCAGGGGCGGTGTCTCGGGGCTGTTCCGCACGCTCTCCGGGAACGTGTCCCGTCACCGGTTGGCTTCAGTCGATGGCGTGACGGAGGGGTGCTCCGCCTGGGTGTTGGGCAGACGGGAGTCCCCAGAATGTCCCTTCCATCCTGGCCGACCGTCCTGTTTTCCCAGCCCACTGCTGGCCATTTCTGTTGCCTTTGACGTGCCTGCACCCGGACAGTTTATTTTCAGGCCTTAGGTGAGATGTGTGCTACTCATGCCTTCAGTGTTTGTGCCTCGCGGGGATTTCTCCGGGTGGAGGATGCTGCCTGTGCCACGTGTAGCTTCCCCCCAGTGACACGCTGCTGCTGGTCTCACCCGCTGCGTCCGACGCGTCCGATCTCGTGGTGGTGCTGTCACGGGAAGATTCTTCCTCCATGGGCGCGGCAGCCACAGGCAGACGCCGTGTTCATGGCTCCGTTTGTCGGTCAGTCGTCCTGTCTGGGCGCCTCGTGTGTGTGCTGCCGTTGCTGTTCGTTGGACTCTCCTGCGCAAAGACCTCAATTCGTGTTGATTCGTACTGAAAGCTCAGGATATCCTGGGTGTCTGTGGCCAAAGGCAGAAGCAGAGCAGCCCGGGTGCTCTTTGCTGTTCTTTGCACGGTGCGTGCGGAGCAGCTCAGAGCTGCGTCAGTGGCTGAGGAAGGGACCTTGCAGACGTACGGCGTGTGCATGCTGATGGCCGGTTGCACACGTAGAGGGAATGTCCGAGAAGCTGCGGGGTGCAGAGCCCTCGGGTGCATCTTTGAACACAGAAGGGGGTTTGGGGAGCCTGCCTCGCCGTACGTGCGTCATGGTACCTGCTGCTCCTCCATCGGCCGCACTGAGCGGTGCTCTGGCCGGGCAGACGCTGGTGGGTGAGAGATGCTGTGGGGCTGAAATACTGGCGCTGTGGCTGCCGAAGGGCTGAGGAGCTGCTCGCCCTGGACTGCGGCTGCTGCCCATCTGCCAAGCACGGGGCTGAGCTCTGGAACACACCAGGGTGAGTCTGGCCTCGGTGCTTCTGCCCTGCCAGCGCCCTGTGGTGCGTTTCAGCTGCCAGCTCTCCCAGGGAGGCCATGGTTTGGGGCACGGAGATGAAGAGTCTGGGCACCTGGGTGCTCACCCCGAGGCTCTGGGCAGGAGGGGCACTGGCGGCCCCGGAGCGCAGCTCAGCAGTGCCGGGGCCCTGTCCCCGCTGGGCTGGGCCATGCTGCTCGGCGCTGGCTGAGCCTGGAGGCTCTCCCGAGACAGGGCGTGTGTCAGACGGGCTCTGCTGTTGGCAGAAAGGCTGAGTGAGCCCGTGGGGGAGGCTCTCATTCCTTAGGTTTACAGGGAGAGGAGGAGATAAAGGCCAGGAAAACATTGTGGGTTATCCAGGCTTTCTGCTGGCAGAGATGTGACAGGCTGCTTGGAGAAATCTACTGTTTTCCCGCTGCTATTGTGAAGGGGAGGAGAGCTGCGGTCTGTCCTACCCGGAGGAGGAGGAGGAGGCGGCAGAGGCCTCCTGGCCTCGGT